CCTTTGTTCCGGGGGATTTCGAAGTTTAATGGAATCCAGCCTAAGGGGATTTTCGTCGCCTCCGACGCATTTCTGTTGGACTCGTGGATATCATCCCCGTATAGTTCACACATCACATTCAATGAAGAGTGAAGAGGTCGTAAAAAATCACATAACACTCTGCGGAAAATCCGGGAATTGCTACTACTCTGGATGCAAGAGCTTTATGCGACAGTTGCTCTGTACAATATTTTACGATACGCGGGAAAACCTGTAAATTATTCACGGAATTTACGAACAGCGTCCATCAAACATTGATGCTCGATGAGCTGATAGGGTTTCGAATCTGTACTCGTCGTAGGTGGCATAAATTCCTAATTTTTATATAACAAAGCAAATCTGGCAAATGTAAAAAAAAAGTTATTTAACTTTCGAGTAATTCAGAATAAACAAAAAAAATACTAAAAACTCATCAGTGCGTAATATTGATTATGTAATGAGTTGCACACAAATTTATTATTATTAACTTAAAAATCGAATTAACGATTTGAAAGGTCAAAAACTTTAACATCCATTCTTCTTTAAATTATTCAATTAATAATTTCCGAAAACTGAAAACCACATATAATCATATAACCTTTATTATTGTCAAATAAATTTAATGGAAATAGTAAAAGAAAATAAACAAAAAGAAAATCAATAAATTAATTTATTGTTATTTAAACAAATTATTATAAAAAAAAAAGATATTGAAGAAAGTAATAATAACTTAGCTCATTATATAATGCAATTGAATATTAAGAAATTGTTTTTTCGGATCAGCATTTAACTTTGAAACAGCGAGACGAAAACTTTTTAACGTTAGCTTTTCATATTTAAACGAACGTTGACAGGTCTTTTTCTCCATCTTTCAATTCCGTAGGGTTTTTCGTACAGAAATGCGAAAGGTCGTGGGATTAAAAAAGAGAAAAGTTAAAAATGCAACGAAAGGCAAAAAAAAAATAGAAAATCCGCTTTGAATAATTGCGAATTTAAATTAAAACAGATTAAATTACATTAAATTGCAGATTACTGTAATTTATGTTATAAGTTGAAAATCAATAACTAAAGACTATACAACGTGTAATAGTTACATATTTATAACTATTACAGTTTTGCTACAATTTACATTCAGAGTGGAAAAATCGTGAACATTTTACGACGAGAATTTTAGATAATTGCATAATTGTTACAAGGAAAAGTAATACATTTTTTGCTTATTCTATAATTGCATTACATCGCTTAGTGTTTCTTCTATCATTCACTACAGTCTGGTTTAAAAATTTCAAAACAAAATACATTTTAATGAATAACATTTCGGAAAAATTAGTAGACAACATTTCTTTAATCGTTTTTTGCTGTTCATTCAGTGAAATCTCTTTGCTGTTTATTTTTATACAGCAATATCATGCATAATCCGGGCGGAACTTCATTATGCGAGATATTGCTGTAATTATATTGTTTGGAGGAAACTTGAATAACTTCTTATCTAAATTAGTTATCGTCTATGTCATTGGTTTACATTTACTTCATTGAGCATTCCTAGGCGTATTACACGCTCAGATTCCAACAGGATATTATAATGCGATGATAAACATAAACGTGTAGGTCAGGATGTGTACCTACGCGAACATTTAGTGCTGCATTTGAGATTACCCGAGCACCGAGCTCGTATTTATCCTTTCTTACGGCCGTATCCTACGTGGATGTTATCAGTGCGCCGCATTCCGAGTGATCCGGCAGATTGGAGCATTACAATTTACACTTCATTGCTTGCAAATGTTAAGTTTTATTCATATGGTTGAAGTTTACTTGCGTGATAGAATTCCTTACATTAAACCTTCCTCCATCCAGTTTCATCGAACGAAAAGTATATAATAAAAATGCTTTTACTTTAAAGATCTTCAGTTTTATCTATTTCCTGAGTAACTTTACTCGTTATTTAGAGAAATTCAAATAATAAATCAATGGAAAAACTTATGTTTGTAATAAAATGATTCAAATATACAATGTTTTATTATTTGTTTCTATTTAAATTCATTCGAAAAATAAATCAACTATTAAAAAAAATTGTGTTATGAAATATTCTCTCAAACTATCTTCAATAAAACTGATACAATTGTAGGATAAAGTTCGGATTAAATGTGAGTGAATTTAAATTTTAGGCTTTAAACTCTAATTTAGACTAATATAAAGGTTTTAAATGCAATTACGTAACGAAATTGAACATTGAAATTACATAAAACTAGTATTGATTTTTTGTATCTAAATAATTGTTACAGTGATTTGTTTTGCAAATAGGATTGATTGGCAAATAAAGGCTTGGAAAATCGAGTGACACTGACACATATTTCGCCATTTAAATGCTTTCTTTTTTCCATCCAATCCATTTGCTTTCATCAATGACTGCCTTAATTAACAATTTTTTTTCTATCGAACGTTTTAATCATTTGTTTTTTTTTTTTTGATTACTGAAGCAATACAAAAAAAGGAGAGTACATCTAAATTTTGTTGATTCAAAACGAAATTCCCAGTATCTCTGTACATTCTGAAACCTCGAGATTAGTCGGTTGCATTTGCAAAATCCATCTCATTAAAATTACAACGTGCGAGGAACGACGTTTCGGTTTTACTCTGCGGTGTAAAGATAGAGAGAGATGAGTCCTTTAGCAGGCGTTTCCGAACTGACGTTCCGCAATGGGATTTATTACATCACTTTCGTTGCCAATTAATTAGTGGAGAGAACGAAGTTCTGAGAAGATAGCTCTTCATTTATTCACAAGAGATTCTTGCGGGCTTTGTCGAACGCTTATTACTAAATCTCATTACTTTCACTGTCTCCTATATTGAGACACATTTTGTTTAGACCTACTACATTATTTATATTATATTACATAAGACTACACAAAAACGAAAATAATCGTCAAGACATAATCATTGTAACTTGACTTAATTTATATAAGAAATTGAATAATATTGAACTACAATTACAATAAACCTGTGTTATAATTTAAGGTTAAATTAGGTTAGGTTATGTTTAACTATAGATAAGTTTATCTATTGATAACTTTACATATACAAAATATTTGTAATTACTTAAAAATGAAATCAATGTACTTCACAAAAAACAAGAATTGGTTTATGTAATTTAAATATTTTCATCTGAAGTTTAGTAAAGAACTGTAGAAAACATGGAGTAGTCTTGTATACTTTTTAATGTATTTACAATACAATACAATTCAATCGAAAACTAAATCAACTATTAAAAAAAATCGTGTTATGAAATATTCTCTCAAACTATCTTCATTAAAACTGATACACTTGTAGGATAAAGTTCGGATTAAATGTGAGTGAATTTAAATTTTAGGCTTTAAACTCTAATTTAGACTAATATAAAGGTGCGTACGCACTACTCGTATTATCGCATATTATCAGTTTTAAATGCAATTACGTAACGAAATTGAACATTACTAAATCTCATTACTTTCACTGTCTCCTATATTGATATAAATTGTGTTTAGACCTACTACATTATTTACATTATATTACATAAGACTACACAAAAACGAAAATAATCGTCAAGACATAATGATTGTAACTTGCCTTAATTTAATAAGAAATTGAATAATTGAACTACAATTACAATAAACCTGTGTGATAATTTAAGGTTAAATTAGGTTAGGTTATGTTTAACTATAGATAAGTTTATCTATTGATAACTTTACATATACAAAATATTTGTAATTACTTAAAAATGAAATGAATGTACTTCGCAAAAAAACAAGAATTGGTTTATGTAATTTAAATATTTTCATTTAGGAGTTTAGTAAAGAACTGTAGAAAACATGAAGTAGTCTTGTATACTTTTTAATGTATTTAGCTTGTTTGTCTTCGGAGACTAGGCCGAAATATGTAGCGTGTTTAATGCTGCTGCCTGTTGGGACAACCTTTATAATGTACTTGTTATGTACAGAAGCAGGGCGTTGTTGGCCTTGGAATAACACCGACTTGGAGGAGTGCGAGGAGATGAAAATTGTGTACACACGCAAAGTTGTATGTCTATTTTGAATTGTTTAGAGTGTATTAGGAAATTTCATTAGTTACTTATTAGCATTTAAGTTCAATTTATAATACAAATACAAAGGGATGAACAAATATTTGACAGTTGTCAGGAATGCTTTATAGTTGCTATGAAACCAATGACAGTTGTCAAAACTTTCTTTAGTTAGCTTATTGACACCATAGTTACTAAACAGATATTGCAAATGGCATAGAAATTAAATATGAATTGTAGTTACTAAAGAAGTCATTCTGTCAACTAAAAATTTGTAAAATATAGAGTTACTAAAAATGGCATTTCTGACAATTATCAGTCTATAAAACTAATTTCTTCGTTTCTGCTAAATACAAACCTGTTAAATAAAGTGTTACTAAATAAATAATTATATCAACTAAATACAGGTATTTGGCTAGAAAAATTATTTCACTCAAAAACTCTGTTATGTAAATAAGTTACTACAAAAATTAGAAAAAGTCGTGTCTGTCAAATAAAAATCGGTTATGTAAACGAAATGATTGATTGATTGTCAAGCAATATTGTAAGGAAATATCAGATCTTCAAATTGCGTTAACGATTTGACAGTAAATGACAGTTTATTTCTGTATAATTATTACAAATGACACTTGACAGAAATGACCTTATTTTTACAATTATCTAAATCAGTGATTCTCAAAAATATTTGGGGGTCGCAAAAAAATTGATGACAGATGTTTTTTCACACATATCCATATTTCGGGTGTCGCAGATTTTTTTTAAGTACGGACTAAAAAGTTTGAGAAACCCTGATCTAAATGACAACTGTATAAAATAATTTTCTAAAAAAATTGACATATAACAAAACTAATAAAAACCTATTAAAATTATCAGGAAGATTAGTTACTATATGTCAAATTAAATCAATTGGATTGTACATTTAACCCGGCGCTTCTGCACTTTTCCTCTCCAACGCCTGAATCGATTATCCTACTTTTCTAACACATTTTTTTTTTTCGGTTGTTTTTACCCGCCTTCTGAGTTGTAGGTCTGCGTTGGCATCGCATTTGGAGCAATTAAAATTGTTTGGTCGGTTGATATAATTTAATTCGGCATCAAATGCAAAACAAGGCGATTAAAATCATAAAGGGTATTCCGAACTTTTCGCCCGCAGAGTTCCGACGGAATTCCCCGCTGCGTCCTCCATGGATAATGAATGCATTGTTCCGTTTGTTGCAACTATGTATTACTGTTCTGTTTCCTGCTGGATGAACTATCACTATTATAAGTATATATTATGTACTTATAGTTAATATAAATAAAATAATTCATATTGTTTAAATTATGTATATTATAGTAAACATTTGTAACTATTCATACAAAAATATACCACAAATTAGAGAATCTATTCATGTCTATACTGAATGCATTGATTATTCTAACAAATTAAATGTTTAAACAATTAATGTATTGATATCAAATATTTCATAGCTTCATGTATAAATTTCATTTAATCTACGCAATTAGTGCAGTTAATACATAACTTGACTATTCTTGAACTGTATAAAGATTAGTTATGTATATGTTATAGTTAAAGGGTCTAAGGTTGTAGTCACACCACGAGTAATACAAGGTATACCTATACGTCAGGTGTACCAACTCTTATGTTATCAATACTAAATACTTTATCTCGGTTTTCAATCATAGTAGTTTTCAATGCGTGCATGTTTATAAACAATATTATGAAGCTAATATTATTCTAATCTTATCTACAATATTCTAAACAAATTAGCTATGATTTTGTTACGTAAATATTAAAAATGATTTTATGCAAATCTATAACAAATTAAGATGCATTTAATTAATTTGACACAAATTATAATGCAGATGCCTAAGGTTCACAAATAGCAATGTTTTTTTTTTTGTACAAAACACAATAAATATTGATTTAATATGAACAAAAATTCCATCTGTTTCATGTGTTTCGTAAAGGAAATTAATATGGCTTGGTGGAATGCGAACAATTTGTAAATAAAATGGGGGATGGATAGATTGGTAGGATTAATAACGGTAATAGAGTTGGGCATGGAATGAGTAAGCACTTCTATTTTGATCGTGCATGCGAGCAAAGCGAATCTGTTATAAAGCCGAGCGTATTTGCTCGCGAAATTTCAGTAAGCCACACGTTTACTTGAATTTCTAACTTATTGATACCGATTATTCTTGCGTACAAATATCCCAACAAATATAAAAATTTTCTTCATAAAAGTAAACAGCTTGTAAAACTACACATTTATCAAATAAAATACACCACATTTTATTTTATATTAATTTCCGTTAGCATCAAATTTTTCAATCTGTATTAAATAAATGAAGTTAGGCACAAAATATTTTCAAACCTTAAGTGTAAAAGTTTTCTTGTAAAACACGCATTCATCAAATAGAATACACATATTTTCAGATAGCTTAAAAATTACAGAAAGAAATTTTTTCAGACCTTAAGTTTTCTTGTAAAACTACATATTCATGAAATAAAATAGACATTTTTTATGTTTTACTTTCAGTCAACATACAATGTTAAATAACTGAAGTTAGACAGAAAAATCATTATTTTTAGTATTGAATTAAAACTACAGAAAGTAAACTTTTCGGAGTTTAAGTTATAACATTTTGAATGAAATTTGTTGCTTCACGATGCGAATTTAATAAGGTTCGACGATGACTTTATTAAATCCATAAACAAAGTTGAAGTTTATGCGTAGATCAAAGCGAGTGCATCCTTAATAGAGAATTAGCATACATGCAGTTAACATGACTTCGGAACAGCCACCGAGATAGGACGGACGGAGTTCGGGTCACTATAATCCCAGAAGACTCAAAGTTATAATACGTATAGAGGAGGAGAGGAATACATGTGACATCGCCGAGATCGCTCAGGGCAACAAAAAGTTATATACACAATTTATTATATTTAGTTTATTTCCTCATTTTTCGGACATCGATATGGGAGGAAACACAGAGTAATAACTAAAAAGTATTTCCGGACTTTTACGATGCAACCAGGATGTTGTTATACTCGGCAACCCTTCGCATACCCTCAAGATTACATGAGGAAAAATGTTTCAATTTTATCGAAAGAATGATTTTCAAGCTGAAAAAAAAAGATTTTTTGTGAGATGAACGAATTTAGGTTTTATATTTTTATTACCCTAGGATTAATGAAAAGGATAAGTGCAGATTTATGTTAAATCTCTTTTCTTAATAATTTGTTAATATTAAGAAAGTTAATTTCTTTACTCTATAAGATTTAGGATATCTTCAAGATGAGTAATATTTAGATTTGAAGTGTTTACTGCTTTGCGTTTGGATAAAGGAAAAGGATTATTGCGGATCTAGATTTCATTGGATTGCATTAATTTCGCTTTACGATTATGTTCAACCATACGAAATCCGTTGGATTTCTGTTATGTAACGACAATCTTTGTTCTTTGCTGTAAACTGTTTATGTTTCAATTACTGAATTTCCAAAGACAATAATCGTATTTTCATACAATTATATAATTTTCTATTTATACTAAATATTGAAATATTATAAAAAAAAATGGACTTAGAACATAACCCTGCGGAACAACATATTTAAACGTACAGAAAATTAATAATTTCAATTATGGAACTTCATACTTTTGTATAAACAAATTCTTTAATTTTTCAAATAATTTAAAGTTTAGTAAAAAAAAACGACTATTAGACAAAGTACAAGACCTTGTGGATTTCTAAATTTGAATAAGTAAAATTTTCATAATATCCATAATATTCCTCAAATCTTTATATTAATAATCTTTACTAATAAATGCACATTTCTTCAGTGAATTACAGTAATGCACAATTACCACATATTGAACCCATTCAATGCTGTAAAGACATAGTTTGCATTGGCAACTAACCAATAATCGTTTTATTGAGTCTAGAACACTTCAATAACTTACATGGACTATGCAATCATCTGCAATGCCAAAAAAAAATAACTATTTTATGCAGTAATCTACATTAAGTGTTTAAGCAATAGTACCTCGCATAGTACTGCTTTGAATAGTCCGGATTCGCCACAGTCCGGTTCAAAATAAAATAAATTTTAATTAAGCAATATAAAAATAGTCCTTTTTCTATTAATTACTAAACTTAAATATAGAATAAATCTAAATTAATTATTAATATTTTCATTATAAATGAGAAAAATAACTATAATACCTTTAAAAATTATTCAACATACGTTCAATAATAAATGAATATACACAGCAATCTTCTCTAAATAATGAATCGTTGAATTAATAATGACACAATTTATGTGGGCTACATACTCTGTTATTTTCAAATAAAATATTCAATTTTTAATGACGTTTATATCAATGAAATCAATGAAAATACATCAAATCTAAAATTACATCGTTACAATTTTATTTACGTTTATCCATTTGTTATCCTTTTCAGTTTGATTCAAATGAGTTTTTAATACAATTATTTGAATCAATAATTTAATTGATATATTTAAGTAGTTATCAAATTACTGCAAAAAGTAATGTAAAATGCATTAAAATGAATAAAAAAAACCAAAAGAAAAAAGGAATTAAGTTGTGATATCAAACAACTGCGCTCTTTACGACCGGACGTCACGAATAGTTATAATGTGTGCTGCGTTTTAGTGAACCCTCACATAAAGTGTGTATTTATTTTAGGCAAATGGCAAATTTAAACATCGAAATGCATTTTCATTTTGGCCCACATACAAATTTTGTTTAAATTTAGGCAGCAACGAACATAAAAAAAAACAAAAAACGCCGCACCGGAAACTTGCTTATGTAACCGTGACAACCAGTGACGACTCGATTTTTTAGTTCTTTCGTTTTTCAATTTGAAAAAAAAATTATATCTTTCTAAAAATGAAATCAATATTAATAATTGAACCAATTGTACAAAATTATTATTCGTATTATACAGTGGAACTTCGCTTACTGAGCAAAATGAATTGTAAGAAAAATGACTCGCTTAACGAGCGACGTTTCGCATAACGAGTGATGATGAGAAGAGATGTCCCGGATTGCGCGCCTGCTACATAATTTTTCATACTTTTGTACACATATTATGAGTATTTTTGATATGTTTCACTATACGAGTATTTCACTATATGAATAAAAACTGTATTTCTGTATTAATTAGGAGAAAAAATGAAATCATTTTGGTCAAATTTATTTATACAAATACAGGTCTCTCCCGACTTACGAACTAGTTCCGTTCGTAAGTCGGGGGAATTTCAAAAATTTGAACACTTAATTACCACACTTAATCATGGTTTTAAATTCTCTATATGTTAAATTCTGTATTACTGACTGCATAAATTTGAAAAAATATCTGTATTTCACTGTATTTCTTAAATTAGTATTTACTGAAACTATATCAATACTTTTTTTACTATGATCCGCGACTGTTTGCAATTATATAATGCGCGCATCGCCATGGGGAATAATCACAGTGCACAATAATGCAGTTAATACCTAAAAACTATGTGTACTTGTGTCTAACCGGTTGACGGTTGTATGGAAACAAAGGGCCTCGCAGCTATTGATTCCCATGCGAACAGTTTGACCGAAACGCAACGTATTCTGCTTTGGATCGAAAATGGAATAAGATGATCGAGCGGCGGTTATAATCGCCACATAACTAACGCATGTTAAAATATTCTCGTTGAATTAAAAAAAAATAAACGCCCTTGTAATATGTCATAGCAATATGCAAATGCCCTAATAAAACCATTAAATACCTCATAAATATTAACTACGTGATATACGCTTGTTTTTTTGCCTTTTTGTTTTACATCTTCTGCTGCTGTTGTTAACCTTGTTTTATTTTTTATTTATTCCTTTAATAAGGACCTATTTTTTTTTGTTCTTTAGCAAAACCATTTATATGCTTTGCCTTCATTGAACGACAAATCATTTCTCCCCCTCATATTTTTATGTTCGAATTTAAATCCGGCTGTTAAAAAAAAAGCTTGGAATCTTGATTTATTTATACGTAATCAATTAGTACTCAAAATTAGATTAATTTTAGCTGAAATTTGATGCAAACTTATTCGTAACTTTGATACATTTAAATTATACAATTACATTTAACAACCAATTATATTTGTAAGAATACACATAGTACAAATTTTTAAATGAATTATTTCAAATTTCAATACTATTTGTACATTGCTAAAG